CCCAGAGCTGGGCCAGTCCCGCGCCTTCCTCTCCGTCTCTGCGTAGCCCCTGCCGTCTCTCCTGGCCTTTGTTGCCTTGGGCTGCTCGGTCTCCCGGTGTGGTTGCAGCGCTCTCAGGAATCTTCTTTTGCATTGGCCCTAAAACCTCGAGACTATAGTTGCTTTTATGTGTTGTAGAGTAGTTAATCAGTGATTTATTTGTTTTTTGTTGCTCTTGGAAATGCAAATAGTACTCTGGCAGCACAGCACGCACTTCACAGGCTCTCTCTGTCCTCTGGCACGCTCACTTCAGACCCGTCGCCATCTTGCTCCCTTGTGTTCAGGACTTTAATGGGAAAGTTCTAATTGATGTAAGAGAATACTGGATGGATCCAGAAGGTGAAACAAAACCAGTAAGAAAAGATATTCCTTTAAATCTGGAGCAAATGAGCCAGATGAAGGAACAAATTTCTGATGTTAATAATGCAGTAAGAGAACCGTAAAATCCAAGTCATATAAAACCTGTACTATTCCAGTTATGTTAACCTTTCTTTTTGCATTGGCTTTTGTTTTCTAAATGTTGTTTTCCAAGCTATTGTATGTTTGGATTGCAGAACAATTTGTAAAGTGAATACTTTTTTAAAGTGTGCATTAGTAAAAATCTGAGTGGGCTGGCCAATTAGCTCAGTTGGCTAGAGTTCAGCCTTATAATCCCAAGGATATGGGTTCAAATCCTAAACCAGCCAGCCGCCAAAAAAAATTTTTTTTTTGTTTTACATTAAGCGGACTTACTACTTAAAGATAGACAGCAAGGGAAACATTCTGAGCCTAGGATTCATTGTGAACCAGTACCCCAGGGCTCAGAAAGCTGCCCAGGATGGATGGAATCTTGACTGTGATCGGCCCACTTGCACTGCAGCTGAGGGACCCCAGAAAGCAGCCTGCCCTGGGTTTTATACCCTTGGGACAACGTAACACACTGGGCTAAAACATTAAAAACATCCTGTTTCAGGGGGTGGGGAGAGGGGACTGGAACAGAGCCCGGGCTTGCCAGCCAGCTCCCCCTTATCTGAAGATGTTACACAATCTAAGTTACTTTTGAAAACTACAAGCGAGAAAGGAGGGGGGAGAACAGGATTGGGCCAAGGCCACTAGAAGAACTGTCCTGCAGTTGTCTACTTTTTACATTAGTGCCCTTAGCATACTAATCATAGCTGCTTTACATTCCTGGTCTGATAATTTCAACACCCCTGCCATATATGGGTCTAGTTCCAATAACTCTTGTCTCTTCAAACTGTGTTTTTCTGTTTCCAAAAAAAAAAATCTGAGTGAAGCTAATTGTCAACTTTATTAAGGAGGATTTCTTTGTGCCCACCACCTAAAATCAAGTAATACAAAAAGAACCCAAATGTAGTGCCGGCCTGTGGCTCACTTGGGAGAGTGTGGTGCTGACAACACCAAGTCAAGAGTTAAGATCCCCTTACCGGTCATCTTTAAAAAAAAAAAAAAAAAAAAAAAAAGTACTATCTTTGAGATGTTAGATATTTATTTTAAAGTTGTGACAGTTTTTGACCTTTTCTTTTAAAAGTGCATTCAGGGGCCGGCCCGGTGGCGCACTGCTACAGTGCGCCGCTTGAGAGCGCGGAGGAGCTCCCGCTGAGGGTTCGGATCCCACATACAGACCGGTTCCCGCTCACTGGCTGAGCAAGGTGCGGGTGCAACACCGAGGGCTGCGATCCCGTTGCCGGTCCGGGCCGGTACAGGTGCGACACTGAGGGTTGTGATCCGTTGCCGGACACGAAAAAAGACAAAAAAAGGGAAAAAAAAAAAAAAAAAGTCAGAAAAGTGCATTCAGTATCATTCTAACAAGACACTATTATGGAAACAGACTGGACAAAAAAGGGGTCAACACTCAGAAGGTTGGAGAGTCGGGTATTTTATTATGCTGGCAGGCCCAGACAAGCTAATGCTTGGAAATCTGGACCCTGAGCTCAGGTCTCACAAAGTTTTTATAAGCACAGTCTTCCGGGGTTTTTACATTTTTTTTTTTTCCCCTCAGCATTCACTAGGCTAGCATATGGGTCTGTGCAGATCAGTGAACTTGGTTACAAAAACCAAAAATGCAAGTAGTGATTAGAGGCCAGACTAGTGTAACAAGCAAACATTGTTTCAAAGACAAAATATTATTTCAAGGACAAAACAGGCTCATGAGAAAATTATTTTGGCATTTTTCCCAACAACACAAGAAAATTAGTTTCTTGGTGCAATGTTTTTTTTAAAAATTATTTGTTATGAAAAATTTCAAACACTCAAAAGTAGAGAGAATGGGCCGGCCCAGTGGCGCACTGTTACAGTGCGCCGCTTGGGAAGCACGGCGGCGCTCCCGCCAAGGGTTCGGATCCCACATACAGACCGGCGGCTCACTGGCTGAGCGAGGGGCAGTCACAACACCGAGGGTTGCGATCCCGTTGCCGGTCCCAGTCCGGTACGGGCGCGACACTGAGGGTTGTGATCCGTTGCCGGTCACGAAAAAAAAGACAAAAAGGAAAAAAAAAAAAAAAAAAAAGTAGAGAGAATAATATACTGAACCCCTATATACCTATTACCCAATTTTAATAATTGGTATCCTCCCCAAATTTACAGTATTTATTTATTGGTCTTTTTTTTCAATGGAATAATTTGAAGCAAATCTCAGATATGTCATTTCATGGTAAAGACTTTTTTCTTTAAACATATCCACCATACCATTATCACATCTAATAAAATTAACAATTTCTGAATATCACCAAATTTTCAGTGTTTATTGAAATTTTGCTCATTGTGTCAAAAGGTGGTTTGTTTGAATCAAGATAATGAGGTACATATTTGATCACGTGTCTTAAGACTCTTAGACCAAAACAGTCCACCTTACTCCCACCCTTGATTTTAAATTTAATCTGTTGAGGAAATTAGGTTATTTGTCCTGTGGAAACTGAATCCTTCCTCTCGGTGTTCGTTTTTCTTAACTTATTTTTCCACTTCCTGTATTTCCTGTAAACTGTTGGTTAGATCTAAGGCTTAAATAGATTTAAGTTCAATTTGAGAGATTAAGAACACTTCATAAGAAGCACTGTGTATTTTCTATTCCATCTGGTTACACTTTTTTTTTCTGGCGGATGGAAGGTTCGGGAATCCAAACCCTTGACCTTGGTGTTATAACACCGGCTCTAACCAACTGAGCTAATCTGCCAGCCCTGATCAGGAGGTTTAAACGGTATCAGCCTGATTCCCTCATTATAAAGTTCAACATCTTTTTTAGAAGGCAGCTATCATATACGTTTAGCTCTATCAATAACGGACACAGTGAAGTGGGGGTTTTTTTGGTTTTTTTTTAAAAGATGACCGGTAAGGGGATCTTAACCCTTGACTTGGTGTTGTCAGCACCATGCTCACCCGATGAGCTAACCGGTCATCCCTCTATGGGATCCGAACCCGGGGCCTTGGTGTTATCAGCACCGCACTCTCCCGAGTGAGCCACTGGCCGGCCCGCACAATGAAACGTTGAAGTCTTGCCCAGACGTAGCAATCTTCATAATAATGATAAATTAATTTTCCTAACATAGAACTACAGTTGAAGGTCCATGTCAGCTTTTCTATCACAAAGTACTGTGGAGAAAAAAAAGTGTTTAAACAAGAAAATAATTTTTTAAATTGCATTACACAAGTAAAGCTCAAAGTCATCTCAGAAATTGCCATGCTATTTTATGTTGCTAAGTAAAGAAAAAGAAAACAGAAAAAAATTATTACTATGATTAGGAACCAAGTGGATAGATTTACAAGGTCTTGGATATAAAGCTTTAAGGAAATATCTAAGTCATAAAGACTAGTAGGGAGCTAAGCATTACTGTATAAAAAATAAAATTCATACTGCTGTGTCTAAGAGGAGGGACAGGACACAGAAAGGGGTGAGGCAAGGAACTGTGGCTTTTCATTATAGCCTTATCTGTGCATGTACAACTTTGAGAAAATTACAAAGGGTAATGTTGAAGAACAGAAAGTCTGCTGAAATCCCACTTCTGGGTATATATCCAAAGGAATGGAAACATCCTTATGCCCAAGGAAACATAACATCATCATGCCCAAGGGATACCTGCACTCCCATGTTTATTGCAGCTCTGTTTACAATAGCCAAGATATGGAATCAACCTAAATGTCCATTGATAGACGATTGGATAAGGAAACTGTGGTATATATACACCATGGAATACTACTCTGCCATAAAAAAGAATGAAATTCTCCCATTTGTAACAACACGGATGAGCTTGGAGAAACATGTTGAGTGAAACAAGTAAAGCACAGAGAGATAAATACCGTATGTACTCATTCAAAAGCGGGAACTAAGAGAGAAAGAAGGAAAGAAAGACCACAGTGGTGTGTTGGACTTGCAGAGGCAGAGAACATACCTAGGGATACAAAGTGGAGTGGGGGCAAGGGGATGGGGAGGGAGGTCGGGGGTAATTGAGGGGATAATTGGGTGGGGGATACGGGGTACAATCACAATTTTTGGTAATGGACATGCTGCCAATATGGATCTGGCCATCACATCTTAGGCACGAGTGGTGACAATTTGCTTTGTACCCATGAATATTCATAACCAATATATATATAGTTTGCTGAAAACATCCAAAACAAAAGCTTATTAATTATGTACACCCTTCGAATTTTTTCTGTTCCCTTATATCAGAATATACCTGGACACTATTTAAAGGGGCTAATAAGGTCAATAAAAGCTCATCTGACGACTGAAAATCTTCAAAGGTGTTGACACGTTACCCAGGAGACTGAGGGTCATAGGTCAGCGCTGGGGAAACGGCTCCAAGGCACCCAAGCTGGGAACACAAGCCACCACCACCAAGCGTCAGGACCGGCCGACACAAAGCGCCGCGGAAGGCGGGACCTCGTGACGTCACAGAGACGCCCACCCCCGTACGTCGCGCACTGGGGAGGCCTTAAGGTTTCTGGCGGCGGCGGCGCCATTTTGCTGGAGCCTGAGACCGAGTGGGAGTGGAGTGGAGCGGCCGTTGTTGCCGACTCTTTTCTCCTCCCCACGGTCCAGTCAGCGGGCTGATCAGGCCATCGGCCTTCGAGCCGAGACTTGTCCTTTATTTAGCTCTGAGGAGTGCCTGGCCGACATGAGTGATGTAGAGGAGAACAACTTCGAGGGCAGAGTGAGTACAAAGCCGCGGGAGCCGTCTTCGGCGGCGGCCCGATGCTCGGGGTTCCACGGGGACGAGCGCGATCGGGCGGGGTTGTGGGGAGTGCTGCGGGGTCCCGCGGGGAACAACCCCTGGAGCCATCGCGATTGCTTTCTCACATCCCAAGATGGCTTCTGGGTTCCCAAACACTACGGCTACACCACCGCCCCTTTTTGGAGACTCACTGATACCTGGACTCCTGGGTTCTATTCACTCCCTATTTGCTCCCTCCCTTCTCCCCAGCCCTGAGGCTTCCCTATCTCTGTTCCGAGATGTGGGTCCCCATCGCGGTGGGGCGGGAAGAAGCGGCAGGGAGGTCCCCTCCGGCCGGATAGTGGTAGGTGCTTCCTGCGGTGGCATTTCTGGCGACCCCGAGCATCGTAGAGGGTCTCGGGGTCGAGTGCGCGGGGCTGTTTTCCGGGCGGGGAGAAGCTGGCGTGGGACTAGCTGGGGCCTGTGTCTCCTTGGCTCTCTATTGCAGTGAGCGGCCGCGTCTCTGTTGGAACCGGCGGCGTTGCGTCTATAAAGGCGAAAGCCTTGAGGTTGAAGGTGGGACGAGCCTAATGAAGTGGTTAGTCAACGACCGCACCGACCCTTAAGCGTTCTTAAGACGAGAGCTGTGAGGGGAAAACTACGCAAGGAGCCCTTTTACCTTAATGTCCCCTCTACTTTCCTTTCCCTTCAAAGTGAATGTGGAAATGCTATCTATAACGCCTGTTTTCTAATTCCTTGATGTTGGGTTTTTTCTCTTCTTTATATCTCAACTTCTAATGCCTTTCATCCTTTGATCTTTCATCTAAAAACTGATCACTCCTTTTCAGGTTTTTACGGTAAAAAACAAAAAAGGAATCTTCTTTCTTTAATCTTACATAACTGAACGAATTTCATGGCTCAGTACTTTAAAAATAACTTCAGTTTATGCTGTTCTTTAACTCAAATGGGTACCTGAAGATTACAGACCCTCTCCCATTTCTCTTGTCACCCCATCCCCCAGCGTAGGATCCAGAAGAAGGTTTTCGTTATTTGTGGTCGGATGGTATAAACATCACAAAGAATACGTTCTCCCCAGTTTAAATGCACTAGAACGCTTATTAATGTTTGAATTATATTTCCGAAGTTACTCTAGTAGTGGAAATTGGTGGAAATGAGTTAGTGTGAAACCCTGAAAAGAAAACAAAAGCCCCAGGCAACACGTTCGGACTGTTGTGCTGGTATTTATTCTAGTCACTAGGGGAAACACATTTAAAAAAAAAAAAAAAATACTAGAGGTGTGTCCTGTAAAGAATGAATTTTGTCCTTTTTGGAAGTTCATAATATAAACACCTGGAACCAGGCCGTCAAAGCGGATGGTCGAATTAGGCTTTGGTTTTTTTGAGGAAACAGGTTTAAAGCAATAGGTTGGAAACCAAAAAGCTACCTTTTAAAGCTATTCCTTTAAGATTGGATTTTTTGGATACAGTTTGGAGCATGAATGTAAATGAATAATAGTTGAACCTGCTCATTTTTTAGCATAATGTATTGATTGTACCAACAAAACTTTTAAAAATCATACAATAAAAATGTTTGGTGGTTGGTGGTTGTCAGCTGCTGCTTGTTTTGAAAATGTTAGGTAGTTAGGGGAAGAAATTTTGCTGTCCATTTAACTTTCCTTCGATTAACTTTCATTACGAAATATTTTTTTGGTTTGGTTTGAAGTGAAGAGGACTACTTAATTTTTAAGTGGTCATCAAGGAAGAGAGTAAGTTCTAGATAATGGTCACTTTAGCCACAGAAGAAAGTAACATGTTTCAAAACACAAATCTGTGGAGCTAAACAAAGCAAGTAAGGTTCTCACCCATTTTAAGCTAAAATGTAGGCATTAACAGTTAATTTTTTTAAAGTATAGTACATATATAGGTTTTACCTTTTTTCTCCCAGTAGATTAATTGTGTGTGTGTGTTTTGGCTTGGTGTTTTTTGTTTGTTTGTTTGTTTGTTTGTTTTGGTGGAGGTAATTGTTTTTATTTGTAATTGGTTAAGGAATTACAACACTAGAAACTATTCTGGAGGTGTACTATACTTTTTTTATTGTTTCTTAAGGCAATTTAATATTCACTAGTGCTTTTGGTTTTTACACTACAGTGACCTTCATCTGCTGACCATAAATCAGCAGTTAAAAAAATTTTATGTGATACAACTGCTGTGTCCTTACCTTAGTATCTATAGATACCTAAATGATGTAACAATCAGTCTCAAAAAAGGATTTTCAAATGATGTATGTTGGTATTTAAGTAGTTGTTATGCTTCAGATTTTTTCTTCAATTAGGGAAAACACTGGTCAGTATTTGAATGTTAGGGTTATCAGAAGCATTTGTGGAGATCAAGAATCCAGTTAAGTGCACTTTCATTTACTTTATCTGCAGTGTAAACAGGGCACATATTAACCCCATCTTACTAGAAAGATATTTAGAATTAGTAACTTTCTTTTTTTTTTTTTAAAAAAAAAGATGACCGGTAAGGGGATCTTAACCCTTGACTTGGTGTTGTCAGCACCACGCTCACCCAGTGAGCAAACCGGCCATCCCTATATGGGATCCGAACCCGGGGCCTTGGTGTTATCAGCACAGCACTCTCCCGAGTGAGCCACGGGCCGGCCCAGAATTAGTAACTTTCTGAAAGCTACTGAACATATTAAAGAAACAGGACTAATACTTAGTATTGCCTACTTTATAGGATTTTTGAATCTGTCGCCCCAGAAATCTTTGATGTGTTTTCTAATTTACTGTTCATTATAATCTTATAAAGGCTGGAGTAATGTTAGCATTTCAGGAGTTACAAACTGATAACCAGAAGACGGCACAGCCAGGTATCTGAGACAAGTAACAGTTCTCTGTTCATTGCATACACACATTGTGCTGTATATATTTTCGTTTACTTTTTTAAAGAGAGCACACTGTACTTCAGTGTCTCAGAGCCATCAATGGAGTTTACTAAAAGCAGTTACTGATGCTTTATTTTCCGTTATAATGCATCTTCCATTTTAAAGGACTAGAGTAAAAGAACTTTAGGAAAGAAAATATAATTGGCTGAATTCTGTTGTAAATAACCAGAGGTGAAACTCATTGATAGAGCCATGTGCTAACTTTTTAGTAAGGGCCAGCTAGGTGTTCTTCAGAGAAAGAGAACTTGCAGTCTGATTTGAGATGACTGGCTGATGGTTCAGATTTGGGTAAAAGTAAGTATGTGATAGAATTAATAAGGAATTTAGAAAATTCAGCTCTGAGCAGTTTGAGCTAGGAGAAAGGGAAAGATTTACCTAGGATGTAAAACTTTGACTAGTCTTATGATTAGGGAAATTAATATTGTATGAATGTGACAGTGAAAAAGTAGGTCACACTGGAATAGTGAAAGATAGATTTGACTAGTACAGTCAGATAACGGAGGATTTTGAATTCTAGGTTTAGAAATCTGGATATAACCTGATATACAGTAAGGAGCTATCTATAAATTCTTAATTCTGGGAGGGGTATAATGAAAAGAATTTTAGCCAAGACCAGAGAGACCAGACCAGTTCAGGAAGAGCAGCCGGAAGCACTTGAAATATTGAAGGAAGTAAATTATGAAAAAATTTGGTCAAAACAGGACTGCAGTAGAATGTAAAGAATGAATGAGATGATTTCCAAGATGCCATTAAAATAAATCCAGGAGAATAATGGTGCCATTAAAATAAATAGGTCTGTTAAAGCAATTTGCTTGGGATATGTATATCAAGTTAAGCATTTCAAGTGGAAATGTACTTTGGAGCTGGGAGTGAGATTGGCTGTGGCTTTGCATGTCATCTTCATAGAAGTAATGAGTTGTTTACTTCATATAGGATTTTTATCTCAAAAAATTTAGTGCCCTTTATAGAAATGTTAATTAAACTTTTCTTATCATTTTACTTATTTTATTCTCCCTTATTCCTAAATTTTTAAAAACTAAACTAAGAAAAATATTGACTGCAATTTTTTTCTCATACAGTGGCCCAATGTTTATAATAGAGGTTGATTCTGCATTGTTGAGGGATCCACTGTATAATCACACAAATGTTTATAATATGCTTTGTAGTACAGTTGAAGAAGAAAGATGCTACTTATTCTTGCCTCCTTTTTCAAGGCCTGTTCCTGCTTCTGGAGTAGTTGGAATATTTTTGAGAGACTCCTAGAGTTCCTCTTAATATATGAGATGATTGGATGATAAAAGTGAAGAGCAAAGCAAATTCATCTGTACCAATTTAGAATTAGAAGTTGTGTATGTTTTAGATATTTTGTTAAAGAATGGAAGAAATGGGGGCAGGGTTATTTATCTTCTCTGAAGCCTGATTTATTAATTAGGGTTGATGACTCATTCAAAACCCAGCTTGTTGACTGGCTTGTTTAAAAAAAAAAAGAAAAAAACTCTTAAACTAAGTTATATACCTCATCAAATCAACCAGTTTCAAAAGGGGTAAAGCTTCCTTTCTTGTAGTAGTGATAGCATTAAACCTGAGGGGTTTTTAATTTGTCTTGGACTTTATTTTCTTAAAGTTAAGTACTATCATTTATCCAATTTTAATGTTTTTTAATTTTTCTTGAAGAATTTGTAAACTTAGGGAAACATCTTAAAACTCACATTTTTATATTTGAAATTCACTAAAGGGTGCTAATTTGATCAATATAAGTAGAAAGCATGATTTTGGAAGGGGGCAGTGCAAGTAACTATACCCATAATGCGTAGTTATTATTTTTCAGATCTGTTATAGATGCTTATGCTTTGTACTTTTACTAAAATGAGAATAAAGAACCTTGAGATCTGAAAGAATATAAAAGGATTTCAGTATTTAGGAATGAGAGTCATTTAAAAACCAGACAAAATAAGCTTTGTCTATGGGCTTCATTTTTTAAAGAACTGAACTTACTTATGGTATGGCATGTAGTATAACAAATGTGAAATGACATGAATAATTAGCATAGTAGT